TATATATATATATATATATATATATATATGAGGCATCTGTAGTAGAAATTAGATTCTCTCCCCCCACATTACTTTTATAGAGTTTTAAAAGCTTAATTATTTTAGAGTCCAGGTAAATTTCAAAGAAGAGTTTTGAATTAATTATAAAGAAGGTTTCCTGTGGGAAAATGTAGCTTTTGTTTGATTTTTTAAAAAAAACATAAAGTTTTAAAAATGGGATACTAGAGGTAAATAAAAATAATTAAAGAAGAACATAGTAATAGATCACTAATAGTGCAATAGAAACATCTGCCTCTATGGAAAAGCTGTGTCTAAAAGATGATATGGAAGAGAAACAAGATTTTACCTGACAAGATCAAATCAAGATTGCCTGAATTGAAAATGAATTGACAAAAGACATAATACAGCAATCATATGGAATATATATATTACATTTGAGATACAAAAGAAACCAGCTGTTTTAAAAATTAGTCATACAAATAATAAACTAAGAGGGTGACCTGAATAATGTTCCTAAATCAGATTTACTAAAGAGGCTTGTTACAGCTTTAAAGAATTTCATTAGAAGGAACAAAAAAAAGGAAAAAAAAAGAAATCGAGTTTTACAATATTGAATGGACTAAAAATTAAGATTGTTAGAAGTAAAGAATATAAAGTAGGTTTATTTGATCAAGGTTAAAATAGATGTTTTGTTATTTTTGGTACTGCTTAATGGGTTTTTGCTGATACCAAGACTGAAATAACAATGCTTTATGGATTTGTTTATAGAGAAGAATTGGGATATGGGATATGGAAAGAAGAGGTTTTTTGTTGTATTGTAAGATGAAGTAGTAAGTTACTAAAAATTTTCATACTTCTTTTGATAACATGGGAAGCCACTTCTTTATATATATCTTTTCGTTTATTTACTATGTTCTTTTCTTATTTCTTTTCTATTTTTTCCTTTTTTATGCACCTTCTACTTTTTTAATTCTTCTTTTCGTTTGTATTAGTTTTTAATACTGTAATCATAGCAAGTGAATTTGACAATCAGATTGGAGCAAAGCATATGAACTTATGTACTGTGTTAGAATGTTTACTGAAGATGGGAAAATGGATAGAGATTTTTTTTTAAGATGTGCAAACACTGATAGAAAGATGATGGGTAGCATGCAGCATGCTACGGTATTATTGGTCTTGAAAGAAACAAAAATGTCTTTATAGTGTAACATATTAAAATTCACAATGTTACAATTGTTACATGGAAGTATGACTTTGGTATACCAGGAGGAACATAAATGTAAGTTGAATACAGTAGGAATGAGGTACTTAAATGTATGGTTAAAACAAGAGGAAATAGGATCAAATATGAATGTGGAGTGAATATAAAGTGAGTGATCAGTAAGAAAGAAGAATGTTGAGATGGTTTGGCCATAGAGAGAATGAATGAGAATTGAATAACAGAAATGTATTGAAAGAAAGTGACTAGAGAGGATGGAAAGACAAAGTTATGCTTCAATAGTTTTCCTTATTTCATGCTTTCAATTACTTTGGCTTACGCTTTTTTGTGTTTTGTACAGCACTACTCAGTCTGAAAGAGAACAGCACGTTGGATATGTACCTATAAAATTAGGATTCTATAAATATGTACCCTGGAATAAGCTTCAATGAACATAGCAAAAGCTAGTTTCAAGTAAACACACAGAGTATTAGGCTATAAATATTATATGGACTTCATACAATGAGGTATGAAAAGGATTCTCTTTTGATGATAGGTTCCGCTATGATAAGCTCCTGATGTATAGGTTTTTTTTTTTAAATGGTTGGAGTTACATTTGTGTTTTGCATTTGGGAGTTCCTCATGCTCTTTTAAGCTTTTGCTTTGATGTTTGACATCTTTTGCCAGAGTACTTCCATTTTCTCCCTTCCTGTTTAATTATGCTCCAAGTTCTTGGAACAGAGTAAGATTAAATACACAGTTTAAAAAAATCAGATACATTAATAACTCTTTAATACAAATTTTGCATTTTATTACATTTGAAAATAAAGCTTTTGGCCCAACTGTAAAAAACTATTCTTTTTATTCTAACTTATTTTTGTTGCATAAATAATTTATATTTCATTTAGTCTGTGTGCAACCATTGACCTTAGTGAAGCAGCAACTAAAATGCTCCAGAATGTACGCATGGAAAGATGTATCTATTTAAAATCTGTGGACTTTTGTGGAATAATATTTTTTTCTATTTTGGGGGGGGGGGGCAATTTGTTATAGTTCGGTTTTGACACCACATTGTCAAGTAATGCTAATTTCCGTGCTGGCATCAAGGCATTTATCCATGTGGTAGCAAAGATTGTGTCTATGCATAGCAAATGAAATATGGTACAGTACAATTAGGTACTATTTGCCGTATGCATTTGCAAGCCGTGCAGGTGTGTAAAACTGCAGTGGCGGGTTCACACGAGGCAGTGAATGTGAACAGAAAGTAAGAGAACACGTTGTATTAGGCTTGATCTGACACGCGAATTAAATGCTCAAATAGCTTCTGCCCGAACATAGACCTTCTTCCATTTCACTGCCATTTTTACGCTTCGCCATACCAAGAAATTCCCGTGGGGTGTATATGCCGTGCATACAATATAGAGCAATAAACGTGGATGTAATGTGAATAAATGCAACCTGTTTGCAGAGGTGCCGGGTAACCGCCAATCGCAATAGGTGCAGGCGGCAGCTTGCACGTATGAATGCAGTGCGGTATATGCCAATGTTTCGCGTTGCAGTCAATTACATGTGGATGTAAAAATGGTGACTGATGCATGTGTCGGCGCAGTGCAAGTGCACGCCACAGAATGCTGGCATATTCCAGCTTAAAGGCAGGACGTGATCCCTCCACACAGTCTTGCTGTTTTCATGAATATTGAAAAGAGCTACTGGGGAATCTGCCGGCAGGCGAAATTGGTTTGTTTCCTGCGCAAAAAATAAAATAAAATAGCCATCAACTTCGTATTCCCTCCGCACCGCTACAGCAGGACCTCCCCGGCTCTTCTCGCAACCCAATCGGATCTGAAGGAGTAAGAAGCAGAATAAGAGAAGCCACTACCTAACCCAGCTTTCAGCGCTCGATTGCTTTCGACTGAACCCGACCGTTTCAAAGGAATCCTCTTTTTTCGCTAAAATCTCGCCCGCGTTGCATTTGGCTCCTCCTTTGGGCAGCTCTGGTTCGTCTGACCTTTCCACAGGCTCCGCCTTTCTCCCCTTCCGGGCCCGCCCCCTCCGTGCAGTTCGGCCTAACCGCGCGCGTTCCCAGGGACCGCCTCTTTGGAGGCCGGCTCCGCCCCCCACTCCTCCCTCGCTCCACCTCACCCGTTTTCCCTCTCCCCTCCTCCTCCTCCCCCCACACTTCCTCGCTCTCGCGCTCCTTCTCCCCCCCCGCCTCCCTGTCAGTGCGGTGGCTGCGCTGGGAAACATGGCGTCGGAGGGGATGATTTTAACGAACCACGACCATCAAATCCGTGTCGGGGTTCTCACAGGTAACGAACCGCGACGGGGAAGCCGGGCAGAGGTGGCCAGGGCGGTTGCGGCTCTCCGCCAGGCCGTTCCGTGCAGGGTGTACCCGCCGCGGGCGCCGTGCCGCCGACGTTGGTGCCGCTGCCACCTTTCTCCTCTGTGGCCCCGCCGCCGTCACTGCACCGGGACCCCGAGCGCCGCTTGCCGGGCTCCTTTCTCGCACTTACCTCCGAGCTCGGGCTGGCCGGGCAGCTGAGGGGCAACGAGGAGGCAGCGCGGGCGAAGCTGCCGCCTTGGCGGGCAACGGTAGCAGCGGTGGGGATTGGGCGCTGCTCTGGTTGCCGCATGCGGGCGGGAGGCTCTTTAGTGCCGCAGCCTCGAGTTCGCCGCTCCCGCTGGGGACTGGCCCGTAAATAACCTGGGGGAGCGAGAGGGGGGACGGGGGACACACCAGCCCTGAGATATCGGCTTTGCCTGGGGCGCGGAGGGACAACCGGGAGTCTCCGGAAAAGTACCTTTGCTGGACGGGCAGCGTGATTCCTCCCCTAGTGTCGAGCCCGGGAGGCTTCCGAGCTCGGCATCCCGATCCCGGCGGGTAGGAAAGCGGGGTGGGATAGCCACTGTCCCCACCCGGGGGGAGCGCTTTCGGTGGAAGGCACTTCAGCCCTTCCCTTCTTTCCCCACTCTGGGGGGAAGCCGCGAGCGTTTGAAGCGTGGAGAGAGAGGGAGGAAGGATGGTGGGGAGGGGTGGGGGAAGTCACGATCACGAGTCTTGGGTGGAAGCCCTCGGCAACCTGCCCGCGGTGGGCCCACGTTCCCAGTTACGTTGCTGGGGGGTGGGGGGGGGGGGAGAGGAAGAAACAGCAGCCGCTGCTCCGTTAGCTTCTTCCACCTCTCCTCCGCTGAAGCCTTTTGCGAGCGGAGCAACCAGGGACAGTTTACTGACGCCTCCACATTATCTTTAGGTGGCATTGGCAGCTGGGAATGGGCCCGGTGTGTTCGGTCCTTCCAGCTGCACCGCCCGGGAGGAAAGATAAGTGAGTGGAAGGAGCCCCCAAATCAAGGAATAGTCACTCAACCTGGGAAAGAGTAGCCACCAGGGTAATGAGGAGCTGTTCTCCTCTCCCAGAGCAATATTGTAGAAATAGCTGGTCGAATCTTTTCAGAGTCAGCATGTGAGCCAAGTGGCTGTAAGTGGCCCCTTCTTTTTACCAGTGTTTCCTTGCCTGGGTGGTTCTGTAGAAGAGATGGTGATAAAGAGCTCTGCCTTTTGTATCTCTTATGTTTGCACTGCACTGGAAAATAGTTGGGGCTGAGCCTAGCTGATCCCTTAGGGGAGAAAGGATGAGTGAGGAGAGACAGTAGCTGTTCTCTCTCATTGTTGCTTCTTGAGTTGATAAATATCCTTGAACTGCCATTTATTTAGTCACTTTGGTAGGAGAAGGTGAGTAGAAGTATAGAGGAGGAGGAAGGCTTCTAGCAGGATGCCCTTCAGTGGAAGGGGCTGGAAGTGAAGGTGTTATTGAGATGCTGAAATATTGTTAGTTGTGCCTAATGGGTGCTGATTAGAGATGCCAGCCCTGCCTTTGGAAAATAATTTCCGCATGTTGCCTATTTCTGTGGTGAGTTATAAAACAACACTTTTATTTTTCCTTCCATTTGTCATTTTAGGGTGTTTTGTGAACAGTTAGCTAAATGGCTTTACTATTAAATAAATTGGAGATGTGGAATTCTCTTCCTAAAGCGAGTTGTTTCTTCTGCACTTTAAACACATTTTTCTAAACTGGGCAATGAGACTTGTTTTTGTTTGTACTGAAAAATGAGAGAAGATAAATAGTAGAATGAAAGAAGATAAAATAGTGGGAAGCTAAATTGAATGGCTAATTGGATATATATTTATATATATATTGGATATATATATTTATGTAGCTTGGTATGAAATCAATGACTCTCTTAAAAACAGTGTTCTGTGTTGCCGTATTGCATGCTTGGCTGTCCCAGATTTTGAGGAAGTCTATGGTCTGTCTATGAATAGCTAATTGGAACCTTCCTGAGCCTGAATGTGACAGAGGGAAATCCCTGAGTCTGATGATGCGCTGTTCTTTTCCTTTAGTACTGAAACTACTAGTTTCTGATATTCATTATCAGTTAGCTGCTGATGAAATGGGGTAGTTTTCCTTTTTTTTTCTTTACTATTGTAGCATATAGAATATAAAACTATTGAAGTTGCTGATAGGAAGAAATGTACACCATATTAACCATCTGTGCTGTGTGCATAGACATAAGTATAGCAGGTAGAAATTGGCAAGAAACCAAAATCAAATTTCTGGATTTTCCACCTATGTCTTTGGAGGCAACTTTATTTATAGAGACTATAGCCATATTGGAAGAGATAGATAAATGTGAAATCTTTATGTATTTCAAATTTCATTTTGGAGTTTAGCATTACTTGCTCATTTGGTTTACATTCTGCCTTTTATACAGAAGCTCAAGGCATCATTCACAGCACTCCTATCATTTATCCTGGCAACAAATTCGAGATTTTGACTGGCCCAAAGTCACCAGGCAGGTTCCAATTCTGTAGACTGGGTCTCCCAAGTACCAATCTAATTCTTTAAACCAATGTTTCCTAATCTTGGCAACTAACAGCGTGTGGACTTCAACTTCAAGAATTCTCATAAATGACCATGTTGGCAGTAGAATTCTGGAATTTGAAAGCCACGCACCTGGAAATGGTCAAAGTTAGGAAATATTGTCTTAATCACTATACTACATTATATTGCTCTGCCAGTTTAATATTTACTGCTTTTTTAATATGACTTTTGAGACTAAAGCAAGAATAGTTGGGCTTTTTTTATAACAAGTCGTAAATCTATTTTATATGTGTTCTTGTATAGTCGCAAATGTCAGTGATCTTATAGTATTATAAGCATACTGAGATTTTAACAATAATAGTTTCAAATAAGAAAATAGTGTCTAGCATTGTTTTCTGCTTAATAGAGTAATCTGACAAGGTCATAACTGTAGCCAAATACACTGCACACACAAGTTACATTTTTAAATTATGATATCAGTGAAGTAATTAAATATATTTGTTAGTGTTTTCTTAACCCCCATTCCTGTATAAGTAACTGAGTTGAAGGAATTCAGCCCTAGTTCCTGAAAAGCGGGGCACCTGAAGTCCAGAATTTTAGTTTTATATTCATTGTGTCTCCCTACTAGGGAGGGACATTGGCCACTTTTATGGTAATATGGTACAATAATAAACATATTTAATTTCATTTTTACAGAAGATAGGATAATAAATTACTTTAATGTAAAGGAAAATGAACAGCATTATTTCCTGAAATAATTCATTGCAGGAGTTCCTGGTATAAGTTTACACTGGTATTATTAATAATACTTGACAAACTTATTTTATAAATATTAAGAATTTCCAGTCAAAACTATTGTTGTTATTAAATTGATAAATACATATTTTTTCTGAAGATAGCTGAATAGCTTTTCAAAAATAGGGAGTATTTAATGATAGCTTTTCAAAAATAGGGAGTATTTAATCTATATATTCCAAGCTCATTAATTTGCTGTTAAACTGGGAAAATTGATTACAAATATTGGGCTTTAGCATGTGGCAGCATTAAACTAGCCTTGGATGAGTTCATCCAAGGTTGGCTAAGTGCTGCCATAGTGCATGTGCATTTCTATCATGATCTCCTTTAGTAAAGTTACTGTATTTGGGCTGCAAAATTTATAGCTTTTCCTCAAAAGGTAGTTGTTCCATTCCCTTTTAAGTACATAAAGTACTAATCAATCAATGTATCTATCTATCTACCCACCCACCCACCCACCCCCACGACATTGCCACATACAGAAGGAGAGTGAGAGGGAGGGAGGGGAAGAGAATGTTCTGTGTTTTTGAATTCTATAGTACTACATAACTTTTAGAACATTGATTGCAGTAAAAATAGCATTATAATTTAAAAACATAAAATACTATGAGTTATAAATAATATTGTAGGATATTTTATAATGATTATGTTCTCATTTCTGGGTTGAAAAACTGCTGTTCCTCAAAATAAATAAAATGAGGCAAAGTCACTTTAAAAAAGTCTTTAATGTGTCTAGGTATATGTCATAAAGATTTCAAAACAAAAATAGATAAAGGAAAATGCATACTAGTGCTCAGATGTCCAAATTATCACATAATAACTAATGATAAAAATATATTAATGTATAGACTTATTCTACCCTTAATAGGTTTTCAAGCATTTTTTTTCTTTTTAAATCAGATTATAATTTCTTTAAATGACTTGTATTTTAGCAAATTCCATGGAGCAAATTGACAATTTGTATCCTTCATAGCAAATATTTATTGCAGTCAATGCTACTAGTTACATATAGAGAGTGCTTATGGTGTTTGGCTCTCTTCTGCAGTCTTCAAAACTACCCCCCCCCCATTTCATGCTCTCTTGTTGATTAGTCTCTCCCTTTCCTAAAATGCAAATGTGTAGTGTTAGGAAGAGAGGCAGAGTTGACTAATTGGTGTTTTCCTCAGTTGTTCCAGCATAAGTCTGCTATTCACACTCCTTCCTAGATTATTAGGTGATTGGTGCTATCTGTATGTCAGTGCATACGAGACTCTCTGTATTTGTGTGTGCGCACGTTTGTATTTGAGAGAAAGTGTCCTGACTATGGACACTTCTCCCCATTTGCTTGGGAAAACTATACCAAAATATGATTATTAAAGATAAAGGTATTAAAGATGCTGTTAACTGTGAGATCAATAATAGGGTTCACCAACAAAAGGGCGAACGACAAAACTGTGCCCGACTAAACCGCATCATTGACGTCATCAACAGGGCGACAACAGCGCGGAGAAAGAAGCACGCTGTAAACCCTAAATCTAAACTTAACCCCTAACTCTAAACCTAACCCTAACCCTAACCTAACCCTAAACCTAATCCTAACCCTAACTCTAACTCTAAACCTAACCCTAACCCTAACCCTAAACCTAACCCTAACC